GGGTGGGCACAATATTTCCAGTTTATCTTTTTTTTTAAAAAAACCACTCTAATCTGTCTAACATGACTGAGAAACCGTGTCCCTCCTCCTCGACGACTCCCCTTTCGTTCACTTCAATGGTGCAGAACCTGGACTCTCTTTCTTGCTCTGACCGTTTCCATTAGTTTCCTCCTTGTTGGGTCCTCTAGGTCTGGCTTCTCTAGGCAAACTTTTTCCCTGTTCAAGCACCCATCAGTTATTCTCGTTTACTATTAGTATTCATTGTTATCTACAAGAGGAGCTGGCCAATTTTTCCTGTAAAGGGCCAGATAGTAAACACTTCAGGCTTGGCCGGCCAAGAAGAAAAAGCAAGATATATAATAAGATAGAAAACAAATTTCCACACATTTTTACTGGCAAAAGTCAAAATAAAATAATTGAGTGCGAGTTTTATAATACAGGTGTACTAACAGAAAAGTGTAATTCTTTTTGTGGGCAAGGGATGACCATTTGCTTAATTGGGGCGCAACGTCAGTGTTCCCCATCATCAGAGTCCGGCTAATGTTCCTCTGTAAGTGCTGATCTATACTGGGAGTTTATGTATTTCATCTGTGAAAATGTCTTCACAAAAACGGCTACTGGTATCAATTCGTGAGCATATAATTTTGATTGAGCATATCACTCACATGGAATGTGTCTATAGAATGCTATTGGATTTTTCTCCTGATATTTGTGTTCAAGCATGTCGATACACTGCAGATTAATCACTTCTAACTAAAGGTTAGGTGGAAAGTCGTGCTTGCCAGTAACTGGGTTTTGAACTACGGACATCTCCTTAGCACTTGCATCAAATCCCAAAAACTGCTGCTAACTGTAGTTTGAGCTCAAATGGTGTCTCTGTTGCAAATCTGTGTGGAAATAGAAATCTCACTTCTTTTTACTTTTGACGGCATGAGAATCAGATAAAGCAGCTTGACATTACTTGTGATTCCAACAATATACGCTGTCAAAATGACTTCTCCAGAGTGTTAAGTTTTGCATGTAAGTGCTGTTTTGTCTTATAATTTTAGGTAAAACTTATTTTTAAAACATATAAAGTCTACAGGAAAAGCTAATTTCAAAGCTATTCAATATTTTATTTTTTTTATTTCTTTTTTTTTTTAAGATTTTATTTATTTGACAGAGAGAGGCACAGTGAGAGAGGGAACACAAGCAGGGGGAGTGGGAGAGGGAGAAGCAGGCTTCCCGCTGAGCAGGGAGCCCGATGCGGGGCTTGATCCCAAAACCCTGGGATCATAACCTGAGCCGAAGGCAGACGCTTAACAACTGAGCCACCCAGGTGCCCCGCTATTCAATATTTTATATAAATGGTTGAGGGTGAGGTTTTTTGTTCAGAAATGTTTCAATCTTGGCCCTCTGTAACAAAATCTTGACACTGCAAAAGCACTGAATGGCTGAATGTAGAGCAAGTGAGGATATTCAGCTTTGGTTTCTGACAAAAATTCACGGATATGGCAACAGTCATTTCCATTAAGACTGAATGAAGTTCACCAGTGATATTCCTGGTTCAGTAACAAATGAAAGATTCAAGTGTTTGCTGCAAACTGCCTGCTCATTAATAAGACGATGCATATCCACGGGCTCTGGGCACCTAATATTTTTACGTAATTTGTAAATCTGTCCGACTAAGCCTCTTCCTACTCCACACCTATTTTTACCACTCTCACTTGTAATACATACTAGCAAATTCCAATGCAGGTTGTAGCAACTTAGGGTTTCCTCAACTTCTCTGAAAATACGATTGGCTATTATTCCACACAAGCTATCAGTAAAGACTGATTCCTCAGGACCACAAACTCAGCACAACTCCTCAAGTCACAACAAAAGAGCAGGACCTCTTTCATCTCAAGAGCCAAAAGCAACCACTCAAAATCATTTCCTGGTTTTAAAATCAACCGATGATGTTCCCAATGTCCCCCATTCTTGAAGCAACCGTTCTCACCAAAAGGCTAATTGTGTGAGACAAGTTTATTTTCTGTGAACACATTCCTTTGGCTGCAGCAAATGTGATTTAATTCACGCAGTGCTAGTAAATGGCCTTCCTGCCTGCCTAACAATGAGCCACTCAGGAGCTCACTACGGCTCATTTTGTATTTTTGTGAAGAAGGTCTGCTGTGATAAGATACTGTTTTGTATTTTTGACTTCCCTGACTGCTGCCTTCCTGGGAGCTGGGAAGGCTGTGAGGAGGCCTCAGCGTGGCCTTATGGATGCCGGCTGGTCCAGCAGGCCCGCCGTGGTGTGGCGGCACAGTCACACCAGGCTGGCCTCTAACTTGTTAACAATATAACCCCCACTGTGCTGTGCCTGCAGAGCCGGCCTATGGGAAGTCCGCGTGTGCACTATTAATGACAAGAATAATAAAGTGTCACAGGATCGCAATACATATGACATCAGAAATGCTATCAAGTTGTAACTGTCACTGAAATTTGTAGGCCACTAAACAGCAATGCACAGCATCAAGAGTAACATGCACATGCGGTGTTCCCCTGGGTCATGGGACCAGCTGCTGTCGCATGAGGCCGACTCTGTCATCGTGCAAAAGCAGCCACTGAAATGTACAAATCAAAAGGCACGGCTTCGTTCCAACAGAACTTTATGGACACTGAAGTCTGAATTTTATATTACACATGTCACAAAATACTCTTTTGATTTTTTTTTCAAATATTTAAAAATTCTTAGCTTGTAGGCTGTACAAAAATAGGTGGTGAGCCAAATTTGTGCTGCAGGCAGTAATTTGCCAAAAACTGATCTATAAGATAAGGACTCCATAAGCTATACAGTGCTGTTTACCCTCAGGAGCACCGGACTTAGATACCTAACCCACTCCGTGGATCACACAATTCAAACCCAACACATACTAAATTAAACCCATCACCTTGCCCCTGTTCTAAATTTTCCCTTCCCAAATATATTTCCCAACACAATTCATCAACCACTAAGCACTGAATCCCCCAAGTCAGATGCTGGAAAACTAAGAATCATCCACACTCCTCCTTGAAGCCCTTCTAAACTCAGAACTGGTCCTAGCTCCTCAGTGTGCTCTACAGTCTGGAAGTACCATTCTGCACTCCCTCCCTCTCACTGCTGTGATCGCACTGGCTTCCTCTCCTCCCTCCAGCACCCCCCTTGTCCCCTCCCACCACAGACTCTGCACGGGCCTAAAACAGCCGTTTTCACACTTTGCTCTGTGAGGGACACCTGAGTGATCCCGAGGGGAAGCAGAAGGAAGAAGTTAAGAGACCAGTCAGGGCCGTTCCATTTCTGTATGCCTTACTGTCTGGGCTTGCAGATATAAAGTCCTTCTAAAAAATACACAAGAGTTCCATGACCCAAAAACCCCACTGTTTGAGAGCCATGGCTGTGAAAGTCTAATTTCTTTACCGAACCATGTAAGGTGCTATATGATGTGACTCTTTCATCTCTCCGCCCCCATCTCCAAGCCCCTTATTCCACACTCCCTCAGTGCGAACATAACAAGCTTCAATCTCCACACTTTGGCTCACCAAGCCCTCTCTGCCTCTTCTCCCTTCTTGGTTTGCTAATTTATATTTGTCTTAGAAGAGTCCTCATTGACTTCATGCCTTTGAATAAATGTTATACTTTCTTCATCTGAAATAATCTGAAAATATTATCTACTTGATTTTGGACTTATTGTCTGGAACAGTAAGAGAGATCCTTTGTCTTTCTCACTACTCAATCTCCAGAATCTAGAGAACAGTGCCCCGCATACGGCACATATCCAATAAACATCACGTGAATAAGAAATCTCATTCATTTTTTTTTTAAAGATTTTATTTATGGGGCGCCTGGGTGGCTCAGTCATTAAGCGTCTGCCTTCGGCTCGGGTCGTGGTCCCAGGGTCCTGGGATGGAGCCCCACATCAGGCTCCCTGCTCGGCGGGAAGCCTGCTTCTCCCTCTCCCACTCCCCTTGCTTGTGTTCCCTCTCTCGCTGTGTCTCTGTCAAATAAATAAATAAAACCTTTAAAAAAAAAAAAAGATTTTATTTATTTATTCATGAGAGACAGAGAGAGAGAGAAGCAGAGGGACTCAATCCCAGGACCCCGGGATCATGACCCGAGCCAAAGGCAGACGCCCAACCATCTGAGCCACCCAGGCGCCCCTCATTAATTTTTTTTAAGATTTTATTTATTTGAGAGAGAGAAAGCATGAGTGGAAGCGGGGAGTAGCAGAGGGAGAGGGAGAAGCAGGCTCCCCGCCGAGCAGGGAGCCCGATGCGGGACTCGATCCCAGGACCCTGGGATCACAACCTGAGCCGAAGGCAGACGCTTAACAGACTGAGCCACCCAGGTGACCCGATCTTATTAATTTTATAACCCAGTACACAGTGTTGTGTCTGGCCCACAGCACGTATGCTAAAAACCATGAAATGAAAACTCAGGCCCGAAGATGAAGCGCCTCCAACCCAGCAGTGGCAGGTTCCACCTTCATTTCCTGTTCCCTTGTTTATCCCTTCAATCTTCAATTAGCAGTGCTTCTCATATTTTGATTTTCCTCTGACCTCATTCCCAACTTCGTCCATCACGTGGTTCGTGATGTCCATATAAAATCAGATGCAGCCTCGATTTTAAATGTGGCTCTCTACTTCAAGCAGCACACGGCCACTTTGAAAAATACGTAAAATTCCAAATAGTAATAGAATATTACTAATAAAATATATTGGGAAAATCATGAAAAAAAAAATCCTGAGCACCTCTTATAGAATTTAAATGCTTGGATTTAGTTTGGACTTGGTTATTAAAAAGCATAAAAAATTCCAGTGGAAAGCTATCAAATTACCCAGGGCAGGGGAGACGTAATAAAGACACAATTTATATGCTGTGAAATTCAGTGGTTTTCTAAATCACAACTACATTTACATAATGCTTAAAAGAGAATAATGCTAAATTCTGCCAATAAAAATTTAATAAGAATATAAAAACATATAAAAATGATTCTTACTAAGTTATTGTCATCCTGGAAAGCATAATGCAGAGTTGTAATCCATTTATTATCTCCATTCACTAATACATCCCTTTCTTCACGAAAACATGCTGTCTGAAAAGGAAAAACAAAGATGTTTTTTAATCAGAGGACACTTTATGTAAAATATATTATGCAAACAACTGCTTAATGTGTTTATTATACTTTCCGTCCTAGAAAAGGAAAATGTTTATTATACTTCCTGTCCTGGAAAAGGAATATGTTTATTATACTTCCTGTCCTAGAAAAGGAATACATCCTGATATGACTTTCAACAAGTCAAGCACGCGGAGAAAGTGGACAATGGGAATAGTACACTTGAAAACATTTTATATTAAAAAATACTGCTATAGTTAAAAAAAACAAAAAACAAAAACAGAAAAAAAGCACACATGCATTTAAGGACCACGGTCCAACCTACCATTTAGATAATATAAACGTTAACATTTTGCCATCTCTACTTCTGTTATTTTTAAGAAATAAAATACAAGTAAATTGTATTTACTTGCATTTCCCTGCCTCCCTCCTGATAAAATGAATAGTCTGTAGTTTACACTATGCTCTTTCTTTCATATGCTTTGATCACACATGTATGTGTCCAAAACAAGAGAACCGTTTTGCATCTTGAAAGTTTACATGAATGTTATAATTGTATCTATCCTTCTGCAACTTGATTACTTCTTATTCAATGATGGGTGTTTTCCTTTCAATTGCTATGGCATTCGCTTGTCTGAATATACCAGAATTTATGTATGCAAACCCCAACCAGGAAAACATAGGTTACTTCCAATTCTGTTTTTATGATGTTGCAATGAATATATTGGTACAAATGTACAAGAGTCTCTCCAGGGTATATACTTAGAAGTTGAAATGCTAGCTACAAGCCATTTCCCACTTTACCAGACATAGCCAATTTTCTCTAAATGTGTACTGATTACTATCTTCACCCCAGTGTAGAAATCTCCCTTACTGCCCCCCCCCACATCCTCAACTGCATTTGGCATTATTAGACTTTTAAGTGTGTCAATACGATGGGTGTAGAACCGTACCTCACTGTTCTTTTCATGAACATATTCCTAATTCCCCGTGCAGATAAACAGCTCTACACAGGCTTACAGGACATCTGAACTTTGTCTCTGAATTGTTCATTCCCTTTGTCCATTTTCTCTAATGAATTGTCTTTTTCTTTTTGATTTGTGAAAGTTTTAATTTACTCTGAGACCGTATTTCCACTCTTATAAAGGTACATCCTGAGAACCTGACAAATGTGTGGCTAAAAAAAAATAATTTTATATGATACATTATAATTCTATAATCTATCATCTTTAAGCTTTTAATTTTAAAAATCTCCACTATGTCAGCAAGTTCAAGAAGAACTGAAAGGTAAGGTGAAACCTACGTCTCCCAAGTCATACCGCATACATACACAGTCACGTGTGTCCAGAGGTCACCACCAATAACTCTGTTGAGTATCTTCTCAGAAAATTTGTCTCTGTAAGCATGAATATGCGCATGCACATGCACACATACAATATTCACAGGGTGCCCCATTTCCCCTAGCTTTTCTTTTCTTTATGCAAATCAGATCACAGTGCTCCGTAAGTTTGTTTTTTTCAAGTAATGATATACCTGAACAGTTTTTCCACACCAGCAGAGACCCACCTACCACCTAATTCTTCTTAATGGCTGCACCACATTCATGCACAATGAAAAATCACCACACAGTATTCTATCGACAGGACGTGCTTAGTTACTTATTTCCCCATAAAATAAATTCAACAGCCATGATATACAAAACAATTAACATTAATATCCCCTAATCAGGTACCTTAATTTTTTTTATTATGTTATGTTAATCACCATACATTACATCATTAGTTTTTGATGTAGTGTTCCATGATTCATTGTTTGCGTTTAACACCCAGTGCTCCATGCAGGACGTGCCCTCTTTAATACCCATCACCAGGCTAACCCATCCCCCCACCCCCCTCCCCTCTAGAACCCTCAGTTTGTTTCTCAGAGTCCATAGTCTCTCTTGGTTCGTCTCCCTCTCCGATTTCCCCCCCTTCATTTTTCCCTTCCTGCTTTTTTTTTTTTAAACATATAATGTGTCATTTGTTTCAGAGGTACAGGTCTGTGATTCAACAGTCTTGCACAACTCACAGGGCTCACCATAGCACATACCCTCCCCAATGTCTATCACCCAGTCACCCCATCTCTCCTACCCCCCACCACTCCAGCAACCCTCAGTTTGTTTCCTGAGATTTTCCATGTATTCCCATAAATTTTATTTGATCAAATAAAACTTCTGAAGTCATGCATGAAATAGCACCAGAGAAAAATTTAAAAACAATTAAAGCTTAAACCAAATCAATGGGCAATTTTACCTGACGATTCGATTATTAAAATCCACAACATTATGCTTTGGTTCCCTCTGAGGAAAAAGAAAACCACTTGACACACTCACTGCTAAGTTGTGTTTTAGAATTTAAGTGACCCACGATTCTCATTTGCCGCTAACAGTTCTGAGAAGGGTAAAGATGGTCAGAGCCCAGAAAGACTTTTTGTTCCTGACTTTATCTTAACATGACAGCTTTCTGGAATCTCACAGACATTCCAGCTAAATTCTAATAAACATCTGATTAGGGACTTCAAACTCAAAAAAGCTCCAAAGACATTTTGTCAAAAGATTAAACTTTAGTACATTCCATCTATTCTAAACTGTTTCAGTGAAAAAATAAATTAAAAAAAATAAAAAGTATAAACTATGACCTAAAACTTCAAACACATATAAGAGAGGAGTAAAACCCCCTCTTCCCCACCACATCCTCATCAACCAACTTCAACAATGACACTATCATTCAATCTTGTTTCGTCCACACCCTTACCCCCTCAAACCCCGTCCCACACCCTTCACGTACCACCACCCTCCCTCCTCACACGTGTATACAAGCGCACATACGCACACGCACAGGGGTTTTTTGAAGCAAATTCCAGACATCATGCGACTTTATCCATAAGTATTTAGGTATTCAACTATCCCTATTAATGCCTCAGATACTGAGTTTAGATGTAAAGCACCCTGTCCTTTTTTGCTTCAGTAGGTCATGTTGTCCTCAGTTGTCACAACTAGGGGGTGAGGGGATAATGGCAATCTACTGGGAAGAGGCTGCTACACATCCTACAGTGCATAGGACAGCCCCCACAAGGAATCATCTGGCCTCAAATGTCACAAGTGCCACTGCTGAGAAACCCTGTTCCAAATCGATATTAACCAAACCATGATGCATGCGCACCACAAGGTTCATGAAGTTACATCAAGGACTCCACATAGATAAAGGCTATAATAAGGTCTACTTCTACCAAAAACAAAAAAAACAAAAAAAAAACTAAACAATTTTTTAATGTCCTCCTGTAAAAATAGAACATCTGAGTATATGAGAATGTAATAAATATGTAGGAGGGGTTACTGGAGGTTATATAGCTTCTTCAGATGCCGTCACAGATCAGGAGAAGGGAAGGGACTGCTGATGCACTAACAGAGTTTGTGAATGATGAACGGGCAGCAAGAGCGACCTCTGTACCCATAAGGTTAGTTAGCAAATATTCAGCTGCCCAGGTACAGAAAGACAGAGGGTATCCTGCTACCTTCCAATGATGCACGTCCCACTAGTTATATATTTATGATATACCTTACATGGAAATAAATACAGCCAATAGGTTGGAGGTATAGCTTTGAAAAAGCGTTTAAAACATCAACAACGCACAGGTTAAAAATCGAGACACTTCGCTGCTCATCTGTAAGTTATTAAGCATCACTGGTAGGCCCAGTTTTCCAAAGCTGGATAAGTGATGGTCAGAATAGAGGTTTTATTTTTAACATGTGTTTAAAAAAGGACTTGATAACTCAAGCATAGAAATACAACTCCACTCTACTTCAAAATGAATCTCTCTACAAAAATTTCAAGGTAGAATTCCTTCCTAAAAGAAGTAAGTTTCAAGTAGTTTGAGAAGAGTTCCTTTCAACTACTGAACCAGCCTTGTATCCCTGAAGTAAAACCCATTCGGTCATGTTGTATGCACGAGTCTTTTTACACATTGCTGAATTCTATTTGCTAACATGCTGATAAGGATATTTGTATCTATGTTCATGAGGCACTTTGGTCTTTAATTTTCTTTGTATGGTCCCTGTCGGGTTTTTCTATCAGAATAATACAGGCTTCACAGAATGAGTGTTGCTCCTCAGGCCCCAAGGTCCACCTCCTCCTCTCTGCCTTTCAGAATCTCCTTAAATTTGTTTTATATATAATGTTGAGTCTTTAAAACTGTACTTAATGGAAGGGATAAGAAGAAATACATCTGTTCCATTTTACCCCAGAAAGAGAATATATTAATGTTTTTTTAATTCAACAAAATAATTTATTTAATTTCCAACTCCTTGTTTTATCTTCAATTTTGCCACTTCTGTAATGAAAGCTAACCCAATGATCCTTCCTTTTTCTTCTAATTCTCCCCAACATACTAACTTCACAGATAAGAGTGGAAACTTTAACTCAGTTTTTTAAAACTTCTAATGCTGAAACACTAAACTGACTACAATTATGATTTCTGTGAAACAATTAGAAGACTTATTTACTCTTTCTTACTAATAAGACTTGTTGCTCCAGGTGCTGGCAATGCTGCCAGCACCCTCAGGGTCTGCCTCAGCTGCAGAAGCTCTACGATCCCAAGGCCATGGGAGGTGCATCTGGAGGTGGCCCGGAGTCAGTTAACTGAATGACGCAGGTGCAAAGGTAAGTCTTTGGGCCTCATGTGGGGCTCCGAAGGACCATTTCTGCTCCACAGCTCCCTGTTGGACAGTTTGACTTCCCCTGAAAATGATGTCTCACCCCCTTTCCCTTCCATCAGTGCCAATTTCAGAAGACCCTAATTCAATCTCACTGCTGACTACCTGGAAAATCCAATCAATGACAGGAAGGCAAGTCAGCCTTAAGGAAATTCAAATGTAAAGATTGAAGTTATTGAATATAAAGGACCCTGGCACATATATGCCAGAGAGTGACATAAAAGTTTCCACATACTTTTCTCAACAGGATACTATTACATGGACATGAGCTCTGAGGGGCAGAGAGGGGCTGCACTGGGTGGGGGGCAGTCAAAGAGGACTTCAGCTTTATCTGTAATGCACTACTATTTGTTTTACAAATAACGTATCTGCACTTCACTGGTGCAATGTTTTTCAGGAGACACATAGAAAACAAAACCGAAAACAAAAACGTGCCCCAAATGTTAGTCATCGATTCTAGGTGACAGAATGTAAATGACTGTAAGTTTTGTCTTTGTGTTTTGCTACATTTTTCAAATTTCCCCAAAGAAATGAATAATGAAGTTTCTTACTACTGCCACCCCTATCATCAAAGGAACCATTTTTGCTTTTCTCCCTATGTTCGGGGTTTTTTTCACGTTGCTACCAGTACTGGTGGATAAAGAAAGATTTCTAAGGACTAATTTCTCATTAGAGAAATCTTACTAACCTCCAGAGCTACAGTTCAGCCTATGCAACAGTCTGATCCTCCTACAAGTTAAAATACTGAAATACTTCCAGACTGAGGTCCCCGAGGGCCCTACCCCATCTGGCCACTCACCATGATCTCCCACGGCAGGAGACCCCCAGAATCCCCCCAAATCTATGTGTAACATTGGTTCTGACCAGACCATACCAGCTATGAGATATTTTTAACATTGCTCCAGCCAATCTTTCCCTCGTATCAACATAAAAACCCTAGCAATTCTTGCAAGAGCAGATTTTGCTACCATCCTCTAATAATATAAAAAACATAAATTTAACTGTATAATTAGCAATCAAGAGACTTCTTAGAGGGCACATTCAAAACTCCTGCTGATTCCACTTTGAGCTGAACACAGATAAATACAGAATAATATAAACGGGTTACATCAAGTTGGGAATCCATTATTGCAAAATTTCTTCCTATAAAATAAACTGGTTTCCACACCTCTTTTTCACATATACAAGCCCCACATTTCGTTTTCAGGCAATATGAACTAAGCCTCACGAATTATGACTTTTTAATTTTTTTTACGAATTATAACTTTTATCATCACTATATCAAAATTGTACATTGTGGAACTTGTCTCTTAGGTCTTAAAAATAATGCTACACAGATACGATGTTAATGATATTTAAGGATCTACTGGCTTTATAATTTTATAGGTCTCTAAAATTATTTCTGAAACATTATTTAAACTTTCCAGTAATTAGAATCTTACCTCAGCTCTTTTCAGCATTTCCCATTTGTTCAATATTTTCATGGCAAATACCTTATCTGCATTTTTTAGTTTCACTACAGCAACCTAGAAAAGGAAATACAACTTTTAATATATGATAACATAACAAATAAAACTTTTTTCAGTCATCCACTTTCCTTTTTCCTTTCTGTAAGAAAATAAATACCAACATTATCAATGATTTCCATGCAGTTCATACTCTAAGATCCGAAATCAAATAATATTGTCGGTTGAAAAAGTTCTATTAGTCAACATGTGCCAAATAAATAAATGTATTTTTTAACCCTATATCAAGTGATTGTATATTATATCCTCCTTTTCAAGTTGTCTACCCTGGAATTTAAACTCAACATCTACTCTCATTAGGAAATTGACTAAAACGTACAACACTGAAATAACTAGAGCTTAGTGAATACCGTGTGCCAAATTCCAACACGATGCTACAGGGAAGGCAGCTGCCAAAACAAATGTTTCGTGGGAATCAAATAATATAAAATAAACTGAAAATGATATTATTTTTCACACCACATATTCTTACCCACTGTACGACAACCCCCATCTCTCTCTCTCTCTCTCTCTCACACACACACACACACACACACACACCCCACCCCTAAAGATCAATTAAGGCTAACAGCTCGACAAATTATAGACTTCACACATCCCTTTCCAACATTAAAAGGAACAAATATTTTTTGTATTTTGTATTTTAGTCATGGATCAAAAACTGTCAAACATAAATAAATAAGCCTCAACAAACTGATCCCATTGCTGTTTCTACCTCTCAGCTTCAGTGTGACTAGCTAATCTCAGAGGGCCCTTCCAGCTCATTGGGGACACTGCAGGGCTGAGAAGGCATTGCAGAGGAGACCAAGCTTGTTTCCACTTCCTGGGGGCTGGGAAGAGGAAGACAAGTACTACCCTAACATGCAGAAGGAGAGAACAAACTAAATACAGCGCGTCTTCAAATAGTTCAAAGGGATATTGCCGAGGATAGAGAATAGGTTTAAACTCAAGTGTCGAAAATATTAAAATCTTAGTGGTAAATGTGCCTATTAGGAGCATTTAATAAATTTTTATATTTGGATTAGATTGCAATGAAAGTAATATGACATATAATTAAAATAACTGTATAATACTATATAAACTAGAATATTTCTTGGTAATTGTCATAAGTGGTTATAATGATTTGTGATTATAGTTTTATCAGTTAAAATGGTGGGGAAAAAAGAAGAATAGCTCAATTTCAAGTGCAATCACTTTAGTCTTCAGTCATTTCTGGTCATATCTGTGGAAATGATGGGTCTGTTAAATTGTTCTCCCAATGGGTTTGTGCTTAAAGAAAGGGGGCTGTCCATGACACAGACACAACCTGAATGTCCATCGACAGATGAACAAAGAAAATGTGGCACACATATACAATGGGACATTATTCAGCCACAAAAAAAGAAGGGAATCCTGTTTTTATGACAACATGGATGAACCTGGAGGGTATTATGCTAAGTGAAATAAGTCAGACATAGAAAAACAAATACTGCATCATCTCATTTACATGTGGAATCTAAAAGAGTCCACCTCATAAAAACAGAGAATAGAACAAGCTTTGTCAGGGGCTGGGGGAGATGTTGGTCAAAGGGTACAAAGTTCCAGTGATAAGATGAACGTGTTCTGGGGACGTGATAAACAGCATGGTGATTATAGTTAACAGTATTGTACTGATACTTGAAAGTTGTTAAGAGAAAAGATCTTAAATGTTCTCACCACAAATTAAAAAAAAAAACCTAATTAAGTGAGGTGATACTGTGGTAATCATCTTATAATATATATAGTATCAAATCATCACTTTGTACACCTTAAACTTCCACGATGTTATATGCCAATTATATCCCAAAAAAGATGGGGGAAAATAATGGGGGCTGTAATAAAGAGCCAAATTCTTTGAAAGGCTAGAAACACAAGTTTAGCTGCTCTGTAGACTCACATTATATGTTGAGAGTGCAAACAGACAGACAGGAGCACTGAACTCAACACGCTTACATTCAGGACAGGAAAGAGATGGCTTAAGCCATCCTTATTCTGATTTAGGGAAGAATGGCTGAAAGACTCTAACACTTAAGATTTCCTCTCCTTAGGTCCTTGTGAGAAGAGTACTCCTAGCTGTACGTCTCACCAGTTCTCTGCGTCTGAGGATATAAGGATCTGATGATAACTGGTAGGAGTAATGGTAATACTACCCAGCAACACATAAATGGGTTTGCTCTAAATGCTGGATACTCTTCTAAGAGTTTTATGCAGGTCCACAATCCCTCACCTGCAATTCTAAAGCCAAATGGTTTTCACAATTCATTTGGCAGCAGGTACTGACATTGGGCTAATTATAGTTTTTTGGGTTTTGGTTTTTTAATCTCATTTAGTGTAAAGACAAACATGCTTCACTATAGAAACACTAATGCATCTGCTTTTGAGGTGCTGCTCCAAAAACCCCAACAGGAGTCCTTTATAAAACAGAGCATATGAAGTAAATTATCTTTCTAAAATCCAAAAAATACTGGAACCAAAACCACCTCTGGTTTACAGAGCGGTGCAGGGAATGAGCATGTCCTGAACACTCAAAGGCTGAGCTAGCATTTACTGCGGCTGTTCAGGGCGGCAGTAATAGCATGTGCTCTGCAGCCGACTACTCGGGTTTGAACCCTGCCTTTGCCATTAGCTGTGTAACTCTGGGCAGATAACGTAACCTTTCAAAACTTCAGTTTTCTCATCAATGTAACAGCGTTACTAACAGTACTCACCTTATATAATTGTAGTAAAGATTAAAATAATTAATACAAGTATAAAGTGCTTACCACTTAGCACTGTTCAATGACCCCAGCTATCATTACATGGCAGGTATTGTGCTTGTTAATAAGCACATTCTAGCCCAATCTCTTAACAGTCATTTGCCTATCCCCAACATCTAGCAGACATTCTACATCCCAAATTATTCAATTTCTTTAACTGTGAAATAAACTCCAGTGTCTTCAACTTCTAATAACTTTATACCCCTGGCACATAGAAATATAGCTAGGTATATCCTCAACTGAAAATACATACAAATAAAAATGAAGCCACAACATTTACTACAGTGTGGTTTCCAAGAGTAATATATTGGGGATAACTTCAATATTCTGAAAGATGAAATTTAGTGAATATCTCCCCAAACAGAAAAGCATTCATATTTTCAAAATATTGTTAAAGAATACTATTTAATAGGCAAAAATGCAGAATATACCACTTGCAAGAAGTTTATTAAAGTTTGCACACTGATTATTTTTTCTGTATATACACAAAATACATACCTATGGATTTCTATGCCAGATGAATACAGAGAAAGACAGGCACCAAAATGTTTAAAGATCAGGTATTTCAAGGTGATATGATTTCTAGTCACCTTTCCATATTTTCTGTATGGAACGTGCAAAATTTGAAGCATGGAATGGAATGTGTGAAATACCACACCTCACCCTGGTCAGGAAGTGGCCGCTAATTACTGGGATGCTTAGTGTGGCTGGTGGGGGCCCAAATGAGAGCCACTCTGCACACGTGTGGTCATCGGAAGGGCCACGTTGCTGTGCAGTGAAAACCATTCTCCAAGCTACTTTATGACTGGTTCATAAGCTGCCTTAAACCTTCTCTGGAATGAGATAGGATGTAGTGAAATTCTAAAATGTCAGTTCAGGAAATATTCTTGAATTACTGAATTGATGACATAGTAAGACAAGACCATGAAGCTGATGAAATGCTAAAACAAAATAAAGCTCATCTTGCTTTTCTCCTCTAACACTACAGATCATTTTCATGTTCGTGGTAGTAGAAGGAAACTCAGAAAGAGGCTTCTCCCTGGACACTAACTTCAGGTTCTAGATTCTCAAGAACCACAGAAAACTGACATAGAAGAGGGTATGTATGTTAAAATGCCCTTTCTTACTTAATTTGATCAAAAGAAAAAGTACTCTTAGTATGGACTCAAAGACCACAAATTTAACACAGAACAAAGATGTACTTTTTTAAAAACTCCAAACATAGAGATGTCTGTTTAAAGGTTTCATATTGAAAGCACTATAATGTTAGAAAAACTGCAAACACAACAGGAATAAGTCAGTAGGTGACACGTCAACGAATGAGTTCTTACACACAGTTTAAGTGTCTGCACTTACAGCTACAACATACAACCTAGGATTTATCACACTGTATTAAATAGAATTTCAATCTCCAATAACAGTTCCCATGCAGTTCTCAAATCTAGTATACACTCAGCATTTCCAGAATTCACCATACCTCCTCTGGCCCATCCCAGCAAACCTGCTTTTGAGTCCTGCCTGGACGGCCCTACCGGCCCCTCCACTTCTGCCCTTAACCCCCATGATCTATTCTCAACCTGGCAGTCACAGCGATCCTGTTTCAACGTAGCTCAGATGGTGATACTCCTCTGCTCCAAACTTCCCACCTCTCTCCAAGTAAAAGTCAACCTCCTACAACTTAAAGGCCAACATATTCTGGTCTCTGACCTCCTAGATCTCACATGCTCTCTCCTCCTAGCTCACTCTGCTCCAGATACACTGGTCACCTGGTTCAATCCCAACCCAGGGCCTTTGCACTTATTCCCTAGGTCTCAAGTAGTCTCCCCCTGTAAAGTCACATGGTCTGCTCTCTCAAACTGAATTGAGAAGGGTCTGTTCCTGAACAGTCACTGCCCTGTCACACTTTCGATACCATCTCTCGCTTCCCTCTCCCCTTCACTCTTATTATTTAACAAACTGTTAAGGCATCAATATTATCGGCTTCAAGTACACTACTAAACTGATACTGAAACTCAAGTAAAAACAAGGCATTATGGGACACCTGGGTGGCTCAGTTGGTTAAACGACTCTTGGTTTCAGCTCAGCTCATGATCCCAGGGTTGTGGGACTGAGCCCTAAGTCAGGCTCCGCACTCAGAGGGGAGTCTGATTGAGATTCTCTCTCCCTCTGCCCCTCCCCCTGCTCATTCGAAGATAAATCTTTTTTTAAAAACCACAAGGCATTATG